CCTCCTCCATATGATAAGGCTTGGCCAGAAAGGGGGGTGGCTCAACCAGCCTCTGGAGCCCCCACACAGCCCATTCATATTAACACATGCTCTCCAGCCCCTGCTGCCTTATACCCTGTCCTTAAGGCAGACGGTTCATGTTATTTTCCAGCCCCCTCTCCTTCTCCACTCCAAATCCCAGTCACACATTCCCTTCCTGTTTCTTTGCCTCCTCCTCTCTTGCCCATCTCTGCTGCTACACCCTCTCTTCCAACTCCTGTTGCTTCTGTCCACGCCCAATTCCTTTCACATCTCCCTATAACTTCTGCCCTTTCCCTGTCACCACTTCCTGTTTCCCTTCCATGATGGTAACTTCCCCTACCAACACCCCTGTGGTCGCTTCCTCCCTCCCTTCTGTATCCTCTTCCATTCCCGCCCGTCTCATAACTGCCCCCAGTGTATCTTTCCCTATTATGACTATTGGATCCACTGTTCCTGCAGCATCAGGCTATCATCCTGCTGTCACCCCTGCAGCCTCAGGCTATCCTCCTGCTGTCACCCCTGCAGCATCAGGCTATCCTCCTGCTGCTACCCCTGCAGCATCAGGCTATTATCCTGCTACCTCCACTGCTACATCAGTCACTTCTCCCCCTGCCTCACAACTTGATTCGGTCCACATTACTCCTACAGTTAGTCACCCTGCGGCCAGTACTACTGTTGGACCGATTTCAGTTCTTCCTGACATGGCTCGTGTATCCAGCCAACAGATTCCCATTCCCCCTGCTGATGGTAGTGTCCAGGGGGTGCAGCCTCCACAGACCCCGACTAATCTGCCTCACATTCCCATAGCAGGTACTTGCAGTACCCAGCATGATCAGGAGGGTGCCCCTTTAATGTATGTTACCTTCAACCCGTCCCAAGCTGCAATACTGGTACACTCACTTCCTGACCCTGAGAAACAGCCCATGCATTTTTTCCGTCGGATTGTTCAAATCCGTAAAACTTACTCTGCAGCATGGCGCGATTTGTTTAGTCTGTGTGAAATTAAGGCATGGGATGCTTACTGGTCCATAATGGAAAAGAGCTTTGATGATGCCCGTCTCACTACAGACACGGATTATCAGTCTGGTATCACATTTTGTGAACAACTCCGTGCATGGGCTCAAGATAAGTTGACTGATCAGGCTACTTCTATTGCTGATATTGTTCAAGAAAAATCAGAAACGGTTGAAAGATTTCATTCCAGGTTAACTCAAACCTTTTCCGATCTGGGTTTCAATACATGTAATAAGGCCCACACCCAGATGCTATCAGCCGCTTTCGTTGCAGGCCTTAAAGAACCTATAAGGAAAGGCCTGGTCCTGTCCCGTCCCGAATTCAGGATAATTCCCATGGATACTCTCCTCCTGGTCGCTAAAGGCCTAGAGTCGATCCAATTGCCCCAGCACAAGAAATCCACTCCTTTAATGTTTTCATTACATAACCCTGCAATTACACCTGCCCCTGTTGGGTTCCCTGTTACCACACTACCGGGCCCTTTCATGGCTCAGGTTCCAAGACCACAAGGTCGAACTTGTTTTCACTGTAAGCAACTAGGTCATTTTAAGAAGGATTGTCCAGGTTTTCCAGCACCTCGGCAGCGCACACAGGCTCTACGGCCACCGTATCCTGTGGCCGGTTATCCTCCTGCTCAAGCGCTAGGTTATCCGACACATGATTCCAATTATGCTAACTATACTACTTATTATCCTGATGACCTAGCCTCAGCCAATTATCTGCCCTCTAATCGTCCTATGCCTAGACACCGACGCCCTGCACAACATGCTCAACAACAATACTACTCAACTACACCTACACGTACATACCCTGGTCCAGACCAGTCTCATCTTGATCTTATCCAATAGGTAACAGGCAAACCTGTGTCCAATGCCCCTGTCATGGCAGTGTATACAGGGGATAAAGGGGGGCCCCTAGCTACAGTGGTCCTACCCGTGGAAGGCTGCCCAACCACCTTCTTAGTTGACACAGGCACAGCCCGTAGCGTACTTAGAGCATGTGACCTGCCTGACGATTCCTTTCTCTCTAATATAGATGTTTCCTGTATAGGTGTAGACGGTACCCCTCGTAGCAACCCATTAACTAAGCCCTTACGGGTGGGTACTTTCCCTGATCTCCTTATTCGTTTTGTAGTGTCTCCCTCTTGTCCTCTTAATTTGTTGGGAGCTGATGTTCTGTCCCGCTTGCAGGCCTCCATCTCCTTTACTCCAGATGGCAAGGTTCAGTTATTGACCCCTCTCTCCAGTGAAGATACCTCAGCCCTTTGTTCTTTACCCCTCCTACTACACATGGAGTCACCCCATGGGAATGCAAGGGTCCTAGACAATTCCCCCAGTGCACTTGACAGAGTTCCTGTGCAACTGTGGTCTACTGGTCCCGATGATATTGGACGACTTAAAGTCCCTCCGATATTTGTGCAGTTGCTCCAAGGAGCAAGTTCGCCCAGAAGACCACAATATCCATTGACACCTGCTCAGGCCCTCTCTATCTCCAAACAGGTTGAAACTCTGCTGGCTGCGGGTGCTCTGATCAAATGTGTGTCGCCTTGTAACACTCCTTTGTTTCCAGTTAAGAAAAAGACCGAAAAGGGCGAACCGGACAAGTACAGGATGGTTCAAGACCTCAGAGCAGTCAATGATGTTACCGTCTTGGAAACTCCCATTGTTCCAAATCCTCATACTCTTCTATCCCAGGTCCCTCCTTCAGCTAAATTCTTCACGGTGGTGGATTTGGCCAATGCCTTCTTCAGCGTGCCTTTGCATCCCTCTTGTCAATACCTGTTTGCATTTACCCATGACCGCCAACAATATACCTGGACAGTCATGCCCCAGGGAGCACAAAATTCCCCAAGCCAGTTTGCAAGAGCCATGGCATACATCCTGGAACCATGGCAGATATCTCACACAGACGTGGTCCTCCTGCAATACGTGGACGATCTCCTTCTCTGTGCTGACGATCTCCCGACTGCAGAATGTGCCTCTGAAGATTTCCTCTGTTTCCTGGCCGCCCAAGGTTGTAAAGCATCTAAGAAGAAGTTGCAGTGGTGCCGACCCTCGGTGATATTTTTTGGGCATTGTCTTTCTCATGGCACCCGGCACCTTACTAGAGACAGAGTGCGGGGTATCACATCACTCTGCCCTCCATCGGCTCACAAGTCCCTCCATGCCTTCCTAGGTCTTATCTCTTACTGTAGAGCCTGGATTCCTGAAGCCTCTACACTGATGCAGGCACTCTACGATGCCCTCAAAACTGAACCGTTTGATTTATCTCCTGAAGCCCTTACCAGCTTCTTCGCATTACGACGTGCTGTTGTTACTGCTCCTGCTCTGGGCCTTCCCAATTACGAGAAGCCCTTCAAGCTCTTTGTCTACGAAAAAATGGGACATGCATCTGGTGTTCTCACTCAGTCTCATGGATCTCGTCAACGTCCAATAGGGTATTACTCCTGTCAGTTGGATCCTGTGGCCAGGGGAGGACCCTCCTGTCTTCGGGCTGTATTTGCGGCAAGTGCTCTACTGGACAAGACGTGTGACATAATCCTTGGTCACAAGCTAACCATTCTCGCCCCCCATGATCTTTCTGCGATATTGAATCAAGTTCAACCTAAACATCTCTCTACTCAAAGGCATCTTCGTCTCCAAACAACTTCAATGTTACCTGATAATGTCTCCTTACAGCGATGTTACACTTTGAATCCTGCCACTCTTCTGCCGCTTCCCAAGGGGGGAGTACCACACTATTGGTACAGTCTGAACATAGATCCTGATGCCTTCCTTGATCTGGATGTCCATATGCCCACAGTACCACACGATGAACAGCCATCTTCTCTATGGCATTGTACTTTGTGGTTCAGAGACGTTCCGGGGCCTGACCCTCAGTATGAAGAAGAACTGTTTCAATTAATTGAAGTATGTCTCACTTTGACAGACATATACTGTGATACAAAAGGTAACACTGTAGTTTTAGTTCAATTACCCACAGAAGTGACTCATATGTACCACCATTGGGAGATGGCAATTCCTCATGTCTCTATTACTAAATCTCCAAATATCTCATGGAAGGAACTTGGTCCATTAGCCAAAGAATGGAGTGCAACAGATCAAGACCAACTCTCCACAGAAGGTGTTACCAAACGAACTGTGAATTGTAAGACTACTGGTTACCCACAATATCACACAGAAATATGTGAAGATGCCCCTCCCATAGAACCTGACCCAGATGTTCCCCATGATTGTTTTGAACAGATGAAGATGGAAACAGCCCATCTTCCTACAGTACATGAAACGGCTTTGCCAGATCCTGACTGCACACTGTTTGTGGATGGCTCCAGATTTGCGGATGAACAAGGAAGATACCACACTGGATTTGCAGTGACCACAGTAGATCAGGTACTTCAAGCATCCCCACTTCCCCTGTCTATGTCTGCTCAAGAAGCGGAACTAAAAGCCCTCACTGTAGCATGTCAAATGTTTGAAGGGAAACGTGTTAATATTTACACGGATTCAAGATATGCCCTGGGCGTAGCACACAATTTTGGATTAATATGGAAAACAAGAGGTTTTCTGACAGCAACCGGTACACCAGTTAAACATGGTACAGCTATCAAGGAATTGATGGATGCTTTACTCCTTCCTGAAGAAGTGGCCATACTGAAAGTAAAAGCCCATGGAAGACGGAATTCGGAAGAAACATATGGCAATCATAAAGCTGACCAAGCCGCCAAAGATGCTGCATGTCAATCAAGGGAAGTGGACAGAAGAGTGTCCGGTGAGGAAATTCCTATTTTTCCCATGCAAACCTTACCTACAGACCTCAAGTTTTTGAAAGAACAGCAAGCAGCTGTAAGTCCTGAAGAAAAGCAAAGCTGGAAACAGAAAGGAGCAACCTTGCAGGATGGAGTATATACTAGCAATCTCAAATTTTGTCTACCTAAATGTATGTATCCGGCTGTGGTTCAGTGGGCCCACGGAGCAGCGCACTTGTCTAAGACACTCATGAACTCTTTAATTGCTAAATATTTTGAAGCACCAGGTATTACCACTCTGACTAAAACCTACTGTAAGTCTTGTGCTATCTGTGCCAAGTGCAATCCGGGAAAATTGGAGAAAGTGTCCCCCAAACACCTGGCGAAGCCACACTACCCATTCCAGAGAGTCCAAATTGACCACATTCAGATGCCAAAGAGTGGCCGGTATGAATATGCCCTAGTTATGGTGGACATGTTCTCAGGATGGCCAGAAGCTTTTCCGGTCACTAATATGACCGCCAAGACCACTGCCAAGCGGTTGCTCACTGAAATTGTCTGTAGATATGGAGTTCCTGAAGTGATTGAAAGTGACCAGGGCCCGGCTTTTATAGCACTAGTGACTAAGGAAGTCTGGGCAGCACTCGGGGTGACCCTTGCATTCCACACACCCTATCACCCACAAAGTAGTGATAAGGTAGAACGCATGAATGGCACCTTAAAAGCCAGAATGCTTAAGATGGCCCAAGAAACTAACCTGCCCTGGCCAGAGAGTCTCCCCATAGCTCTGTTTAGTGTTAGGTACACACCAAGAGGGAAGTTTAACCTGTCTCCTTATGAGATTTTGTTCGGTTCAGCCCCTAGGTTAGGTTGTTACTTTCCTCAACAACTCCAACTGCAATCAGATACTATGGTTAATTATGTGACTGCTCTTTCCCAAGTTTTAAACAAGATACATGCCCAAGTGTTTTCTTCCATTCCAGATCCAGAGTCCGATACAGGCACACACAAGTTGCTCCCTGGTGATTGGGTTCTGGTTAAGAAGTTCCTGAGAAAACATACCCTTGAACCCAGATATGATGGTCCGTTCTAACCACGACTACCTCAGTTAAATTGGCTGGAAAGAACTCTTGGATACACGCTTCACATTGCAAGAAAGTCCCAGATCCAGAGGAAGCAGATCCTGTTATAGCATGAATTTTGTGTATTTGTTCTTGCTGCTAGGTCTGATAAAGGCCCAACAAGTCGCTATAACCAAAGACAATCATGTTTATACATTTTGGTACAATTCCTCTAGTACACGGGTAGCCACATTTGCATTTGATTATTGTGATATTGTAAATTGTACATTTCCACCAGCATTGTTGTCAACAGTGTACAAAGACATACCTAACATTAAGGACCCATACATATGTGTGACTGATGACTACTGGGGATATGAGTGTAGCTCATGGAAGGCAGTAGGTTGGAATACAGGGCCAGCTTGGGGCTATAGACCACAAAGTGCCTTAGACAGATTAGATACAAATGGGGAGTCCTTACTGAAAAGAATGATGTTCAGGAAACCAGGGGGGGGGGGCGACACCTATGAAACTAGCTTTAAACATAGAGCATCCCAGTCCTGGAGATGCTGGGCAATATGTAATGGGAATGTACTGGAAGGGAGGAGGTTCATACAATAAACAGGGGACCTTTTACTTACGGGACATGTATGACGCACCTGAATGGGTATGTGCCACGCACATGACTATTAATCCTCTTAGGCCACATATCAAAACTCTAAAAGAGATGATAGCTATAGCTAACCCCATGTATGAGGACACTATGGCTGTAGAGACGGCTCTCTCTGACACTAACTTATGGCTTGAGTGGATGAAATATAATGCTAACAAACACAACAGATCTAACTGCTATGTCTGTGGAGGAGCGAGGCCTCACTTAGGTACTGTCCCTTTGAATATACCTCCGGAGATAGAGATGTGTTTCCTAAGTCTCTATACTATACTTAAAACTGACCGGACGGAATGTGAATCATGGGTAAAGGAATACCCAATTATCCTTAAAGATGTTAAGCCAGATAAAGGTATCACCATATACCCAGGTAACTACACTTGTTATGGTATATATGATGGGGTAGGTCAATTCTTTGGTAATTTCACTGGCAAGTACTGTGCCACATATAGCCCAATTCCACCCGCCCTAATCCAACAACAAATAAGATCCCTTGGAGACATATATTGGATTTGTGGGGATATGCAGATTAGAACCAGATTGGAAGGCGTATGGTGGGGAGAATGTGCCCTAGCTAAGGTTATTATGCCTATACACATAATCTCTGATGGACACCAAGATAACCCAGGTACATCACACCAATACTCTAGAATAAAGAGATATACTCCTGTAAAAGGCAGTTTTGATCCTCATATTTACAAAGATACCATAGGAGTGCCAAGGGGGGTGCCGAATGAGTTTAAAGCAAGAGATGAAGTGTCCGCAGGGTTCAAATCTATTTTCCCAATCATCACGGCCAATAAAAATTTAAATTGGATCAATTACATCTATTATAACCAACAAGGTTTTGTAAATTATACAAGAGATGCCCTCCAAGGTTTGGCGGAACAATTACAAGCTACTTCCCAGATGACCTTCCAGAATAGAATGGCCTTAGACATGATCCTGGCGGAGAAAGGGGGAGTATGTAAAATACTCCCAGACACCATGACATGCTGTACCTATATTCCAGATAATACAGGCCCTAATGGTAAGGTAACGTTGGCAATAGAAAAGTTAAAGAGTTTGTCCAATGAACTGAAACGAAATTCTGGGGCCACAGATCCATGGGAAAGATGGTTTGGATGGATGTCTGGATGGCAAGGTGCTCTGGCCCAAATAGGTGTTGCCATTTTAATAACGATAATCATCCTCGCTCTTCTTGTTTGTTGTGTGTTACCCTGTCTTAAGAAATGCCTACAAAAGACAGTTGATCAGACAATCGACCAGACCACCCCGACCTTCCTTCACCAAGAGATTGACGACATCGACCGTGATACACCACATACACCCTTACAGTCCCACCGCACTAAATCAACAGCTACTTCCTCTTAAGGACATTTAGGGATAGCGTCTGTCTCTACGGGCAGAAGTCTGCCGCGGGAGAAGTAGTGGACAAGCTGCTATGGGGTACCCGCGCAGTGAAGTGTTCGAGGCCTGTTCAGACAGATGTGCAAGATAGCCTTTTGTTATTTTTCTATAGGGACAGTATTAGAATGAGAGATAGTAGTTTTAGTAAAAATTGCCATTTTAAGGGGGGACTGTTATGGACAGATTAATTAAAATAAAATGGCTATTTACTAATGTCTATTTATTCTCTGTTCACTATGTTAAAACTGGCTTCTAGAGTAAATATTCCCTTCCCCCTTTCAATGTGTTCAGCTGCTGTTTACTATGTAAATTCCTCACATCCTGCTAGCCTCCCCCACTACCTTTGTGCCAGTTAACAGCTATATGCCACGTATAACAAAATGGAGAATCAGTGGTTTAGAACTGATAGAAACTACTCACTCCCCCTCCCATCGTGTATCCAGAAGTCTGTAATGATGACACTACATCCTGTAGGGGGGTTTAAACAAGACCCCCCTTTCTCTATTAACCAATTGGTGAATGTATACTGTATGTTTAAACTGTGACGTATTTTTGCTTTAAGAAGGAGCCCCCACTCCGGGGAATAAAGCATTCCTGGGTTTTTCACTGATCAGAAACTTTGTCTCCGGTGTGAATTACTTCTAGGGAAAGCGTGCACGCATTAATTAATCAATTTGGAAGGTGTAGATAACCAAATTATCAAAGTTTTCTTTGATCCAAAACAATTATAGTGTGGAAGGTCCCACACGTGCTTAGGTTTAATATAGTGTGGTAGGTCCCATACATGGTTAGTTAAGGGCTTCAGGTGGTAGGTCCCACCATTTAAGTAAGGAAGCCAGGTTTTGGATTCCAGCCAATCACACATCGAAATTGCTTATATTTATATTATATTGCACAAGAATTGTATGTATAATTGTTTATAATTGTATATTGCGTAAAAATGGTAATTGTATTTATCTGAGATATTTTTTATAAATCTGTGAGTGAATGAGCTGTTTTATAATGGCACCCATAATTGTGGCAAGGCTAAAACCAATGACCAACGATTTTGGAAAGCCGTTGTAACACAGCAATGAGCCTAATACTCTTTCTACGAGATCAGGATTAGTGTATGTCTGTGTTTGAATGATAATGATAATAATCTTAAACCCAATACACTCCATGAGATTGGAATATGTTCCATAGTGCTAAAGATACAGTTTTTGATAGTTCTATATGTCCTATTCTTCTGGACAAACACCACACTTCCCAGTAAATAGCATATCACTTTGGTGAATGTATGTATGTATGTATGTATGTATGAAGCCCAATACTGCTGCTAACGTTTATTTAAACACATGTCCAATATCCAGTATAACTTGCTCCTTTTTCTATTTTTCTAACTTTGGTTGCTATGCTACAGGTGTCAACTGTTATTTTGTTTGCATTAGTAAAATGTTTGTATTTTTAGTATGGGTTCACTGTGCACTAAGATACATGCACTAAGATAAATAAATAAGATAAAGTACCACACTCCTAATGATGTACCCCGAAGTACAGGTAATACAAGTGCCAGATTGGTCGCTCCATCCCCTCTTACAGGCAATACACCTAAGAAATTTGTAAGTAAGCGTAGTGGAAGCTACCCCTTTTCTTGATAATATGGCGGGATGGACTGAAATAATGGAGCAGATCTTATATTTCCCAAGAGACGGTAGTTTGTGTTGTCCTTTCAATGAAATGATTAAGGGATTATGTTTATATGATCCATCGTGGAGTCTTTATTTTCCAGACCTAGAATGGGACATGTTATACATGAAAAACTGTTTAGAGGTATGGGTTAAATGATCACCCCTTTGGCCAAATAAATCAAATGACTTAGCTCAACCTCCCCTTCCCCACCCAAGTGATCAAATAAAGCGTTGTGCCCCACTTTATCCCAGTTTATAAGGTTTAAGTAATGATGATGATGACATATTGATTTCAGCAGGACTTAATCCGCCCTGCAATTCCCTAAACCAAACTTATCGTGTGAGTATTGATGAGAATCCCCCTCCCCGCCCCCCTTCTCCTGGGTCAATGGAAGGAATGCAAACTCCTGGTAAATCTCAAGTTGAGGATTTAAAAAAAGGGTAAAACAACAAAAATGCAGTTGTGCAGTGATATTCAATTGTTTTCCCCCAATATCCCAGGTACCCTTGTGCAACAACTACCATTTATGCTGTGTGACGAGTCCAATCTTGCCACTGTGCATTGGAGGAGCCTGGTTGCTTTTTGACTATGGACCGGCATTTAAATACTTTATTTTCCTATGCAGAAAGGTCTATTCATGTATTTCTGCCCGGGCGTTCGGTAGATTCTATCTACTGAACAAACAGCCATCTATTGGTCTCCCAAGAGCCGCGGTCAGCTGACAGGCGCCGTTAATTGGCCGTCCAGAAGCCGGCGAGCACCGCCTATTGACCGCCCAGAAGCCGTGGTTAACCGCAGCTTAATTGACTATACCGGGTGGCCGCAGCTCTGCATACTGAACACTGGATGGCAGCAGTCTGCAGTTCACACG